GCACAATGTTTATAGGATTCAGGGAGTTGGCTTGAGGGTCGAAAAACAGGGCCCAATAACTACCAATAGTGTTTTGGGGGTTCCTTATTAAAACTACAGTATAATAAGGCCGAAAACCCTCTTCTAATTATTATTAAAAAGGCCCTTAATATAGAACCCTAGTATAGATCCCTTATAGAACCTTTTAAGGATCCCTTTAAAGGAGCCCCAAAATTCCTTGTCTGATATTAAGGCCCCTATATTATAGTTCGTTCGTTCTTTTGGCTTTGGTGCTTGGAGGTTCATGGGTAGTTCTAAGGGGAGGTTCATGGGTAGTTCTAAGGAGAGTTATAAGCAGGGTAGCCATAGCTATAACGTAGATTAGGGGACCTATAACTCCATTTATAACTACCCATGAACCTCCAAGTAGACCCTAAACCCTAAACCCCTTAAGGAACCCTTAAAGGAATCCACGAAGGGTTACTTATAACTGCCCATGAACCTCCAAGTGGTGGGGGAGTCAGGGGGTTCAGGCCTCTAGGGCCTCTAGGGCTCAAGGGGTTCAAGGGGTGGTAGGGCAGGGGCCTGAATAGTTAGAACAGGGGTTTTGGGCTCCTTTGTGCTTATAGTCGGAAACCCTAAGGAAAAATCGGCAAGTATTTGGGCCTCTGTTGGGGTGGGCGGGTTCAAGATTGAGGGTTCGGGAGTTGTTGGCTTGGGGTGTGCGAGGTTTGAGGTTCAGAGTATGAATGCGCTGACTACGCCTTAAGGAGATATCACAGAACTACAAGAACTGATCCTGTAGCTCCCATAGCCCCTAAACCCTAAACCCTAAACCCTAAACCCTAAACCCTAAACCCTAAACCCTAAACCATATTATACCCCCGATAAGTATGTTTTCACTAATGGAGGTCCGTAGATTGTGCAGTTAGTACCGGCCTCTGGCAGCTCCCCCAGCTGATCCTCAGATATCAGTACTTTAGGGGTTTAGGGGTTTGGGGGTTTTGGGGGTTTAGGGTTTACGTAGGGCTTGACATTGGGAAGCAAAAGCGCGGATGGATCGCACGCAGCTGGGACCCCAAAGCGGAAGAACTCCCACCTTGTCGTCATCAGGATGGCAGCAATGACTACTTTCATAGTGTCCTCAAGGGTACTCGAGTCCTACACCATGTATTGCTTAGGAGCTCTTCCGATACAAGGGAACTGGCAATGTTGGCTGAGGATATTCCTGGTATGCCTGATCCTGGTCGTGGCCCTGAACTGGGCATTGGATGCGGCATTGGGAAGAAAGGTGCGGGCCTTGTTCCGGGTGCAGGGAAACTTTAGGGAGCTCGTCTTCGGAACTTGGTTTATTTTTACTCTCGGCTCCGAATGCCGAATTAAAGACGCCTTCAGGTAGCAGGTGTGTTGTTTTAGGTTCACCCTATCACATGCGTATCTGTGTCGAAGCTCTGCCCCAAACCCACGCACAAGCCCAAGCACTCAATCCTGTAGATCGCTGTGGCCGTTTTGCTGTGTTCTTATTAGGGGTAAGTAAAGCTTCCATGGTAACTTAACCCTAAACCCTGAACCCTAAACCATAGTAGTGATCTATAGTGGTAACTGAAGGAAGTTCCTTATCCAGAACCCAGTTTGGGGGGGTACCACCCGCCCCCCAGAACTCCCAGTGCTCAGGTCTTTATAAGTTCTATGCCGTATTGATTTCCCCTTAAACCCCAAAACCCCTAAAC